TTTGCGCAGTCCTGCAGCCTTGGTAACAGGAGAGGGAACTTCAGTCATTTGCCCACGAGGCATTTCCCACAGTGTGCTCCACGAGACCACTAGCTTCTTCCATCCTTGTCAAGGGGAGTGCTAACCTTCTCTCCTTTCATACAACACAACTGTATTACCGGCCGCCTGCTATTTATAGCTCCGCCAGCGCGCCGCTTTACGCTTACGGTGACTGAGGCGGGGGGGACTCGTACCGAAATGGTACGCCAGTGGGACGCCTTCCCACAGCGGGGAGCCGGCACTGTTCGCATACTATCGCCCAAATCCCTACAGTCGTGCGCGTGTGGAAAAACTCGCCATTCCCTGCCCTAATGTATTCATAAAACCAGCCAATCAGAAGCTGGGAGGGACATGCGGAAGTCCCCAGCGTCCTTCAGAAAACTCGATTCCCCCGGAAACAAAACAGGGCCCTCACACACTTCCTACACCGACACGCCTCGCGGTCGGTCGGGCAGAGACTCGGCACTTCCTGCGGAAATGGAGGTGGTTTGGAGCGAATCAGAGGACGAGGAATGGAGATCCGCTCCGCGGACTTCCGGACGCGGCCCTGCGCTTGGAACTGTGGGTGCTGGAGGCGAGGGGTGCAGGGGCGCGGCCTGCGCATGCTCCGAGCCCTTTTTTTTTTTTTTTTTTTGCACGGCTTAGCGCATGCTCCATGGCCGCAGCGCACACTCCGACGGCCGCGGGTTCGAGGCCCGGAAAGGGCCAGTCTGCGCATAGCGGGCATCCATGTCTCCTGTCCGCCCTTTCCTCGGGGCTTGAAGGTTTAAGCCCGATGCTTCCCGCCTCCCTGTCCCCCAGGGCCGTAGCCCGCGGCGGTGACGCGGCGCCTTCCGCGGCTCCCACGCGCGTGCCGCGGAAGAGCGTGTGTGCGTACGGGTGCCGGGTGCGTGTGCACGTGTGTGCGTTGAGTGAACCCATGTGCGTCCGTGTACGGTGAGTGCACACGTGTGTGCGTGTGTGCGGTGCGCGGACACGTGTGTCGTGAGTACGTGTACGTACGGGGGCCGAACACGCGTGTGCGGTGAGCGAGCACGGGTGTGCGTGCACCTGTGCATGCGTGTGCACCTGTACGTCCACACGCGTGTGTCCGCGCACGTGGATGTGTCACTGCCAGGAGGGAACGCCGGCCTGCAGGGGCTGACTCTGGGCGGCTGT